TTGGTGCCTCACCAGATGGTTTACTAGAGAGTGATTGTTGTTTACCAGTGTGCCTCGAAATTAAATGTCCATATAAATATAAAGATAAAAATCCAAAGGAGGCAGCAGATTAGAAAATCTTACTTTTTGGAACTTTGCTGACAAGGGGGGCCATAAAATTACAAAAAGAATACCAGCTATTTGTAAGGCTTGATTTGCAACAGACAATGATTTGATGTACATAATACCATCAAAGAATTTGTAACTTTTCAGTCCCTGAATTGCACGTTCCACATGAATGCGTAAAGAGGCAAAGTTTTTTGACTCTTTAATTTGTTTAGATGTCAAGAATTTGCCTTTTCTATATTGGCATGGCCGATGGTGGCATATTTAGCTGAGCTCCCCTTTGAAGAAGGAGGTCATTAATTATGAATCCGCGATCTGCCATAACATGATCACCTCGCTGAATGAGATCTAGAAATCCACTCCTCAGAGTAATGCTGCGATCGGAAATGTTTCCAGACCATAATTCAGTTATAAATATAAAGACCCCATTTAGTGAAATCCCAACCAGTGCTTTAAAAGTGTTCTAGTTTTTGTAGTTTGACCAAGTTCTGCTCTGAGCTGAAGGATTCCCTGGACGTTGAACAAAGAACTCTGTTGCATCAATTATGACTCTTGTGTTTGGGTATTTTAAACGGAAGGAAAGAGGCATATGCATTTTTATTTTTTGCCTCGATGGCCACTTAAGTAATGGTTTTAATTGCTGATCTAGAAAACACATCCATGTGGTGAATTTGGAAGAAACTGTGGACTGAGAAACGCCAAACAAGACTGAACAGAACATGGTGTTCAGGCCTAAACGCAGACGAAGTAGTGTTAAAGCGAATTCTTCAAATAACTGCAGTTTTCTTTGTTTCCCGGGTTTCCTTAAGTTTTCTGAGTGCCACTTCTTTTCATGACTAGATGATCTACGAGTCCAATACTTCATACTGGAAGCGGAGCCATTCAAGATGTCAAACAAACCCTTTAAAAACAGAAGAGATGGCAGACCAAGAAACAGTCTTACATGGTTGTCACACTTGATTAATATTTCAATTAAAATGTCTCGGAAGAGTTTTGAAGTTTAAATTCTACTTCCTGTCTTCGTCTTTCACTATCATTTAACTGATTTTTCAGTTGTTTGTTTTCTTCTATAAAAGCTAATATTTTCTCTTCTAGTTGTTCACAATGAACCTACAAAATTAAGCACACATTACATTTTTAAACTAAGATTTCAAGGAGAATATACATATATTTCATTTTCAAAGTTTATTGTCACTTAATTACATAACTGAATAGATACGCAGCAGCAAGAATTTCATGTCAGAATAAGCTCAAATACTAAACAGGGTACAGTAAATCATGCTTATGACAAAGTGCCCAAGGACAAATGATTTTGCTTCCTTATATAAAATGTAATTTGTTACATCTGTTAAGTTTACAATATATTTTAATGCCATGGGAATGAAAGTCACTTTTATACAACTTTTCACATTTTATATGATTTTACACAAATATATACCTTTGTTATATTCAGTAAAGAATAATCCCTTTATTCTCTATGTAGTCAAACATTCAACATAATTGATATTAGTTCTTTCGAAAGATATTGATGGTCATTTAATTTTTACTATTGACCAATGTTGACCAGAAAATATTTTGGTTTCAGATAACAATTATTGACTGCGTTTTGGGTAACATTGATTACATTATCCTCCTCCAGATGAAGATATAGCCCTCTGCTCCACACTAGGCATTATTTCATTCCTTGGAGGCTAACATAATCAATGTTGCCCTCAACCCCAGTCTATATTGTATAATATTTAAGTGACATAATACATATGAAATAATGAAAAAGAACAATAATGCTATTCTGTAAAAATACCTTCAAATGCCTATTGTCATGTTCCAAATTTGTTATTTGGGTATCAGCATCTGCCCAGTCTGTGTCGCTAAGGTGTGATGAACCTGACACAGGACTCACTACATATGGGTGGTCATGTTGCATGATATCAGGTATGGAATATGACCTTTCAGTGGTAATTGGAACTGTGAAAGAAAAATACATCTAAAAATACAAAGACATATTTTTATGCATAAAAATGTACTTGTTATGATCCTTTTTGGTATATTTGTTGAAGATCAGATACACAACTTTTTTTGATTGTGCAAGTTTCTTTAATCCAGACATTTCTTTTAAAAACTTTACAGATAAATGACAAACTTTTTAAAAACAAAATCAAAGAGGTGTTATGTTTTTCATAATTTTTAAGAAAACTATGCCATCCAGCCTTTTCCTTCCTCTTTAGCAGGAATGATGATGTCATGATGTATGCCTTGATACAATTCTGTCACTGGTATTGATAGTTTTCAGTAGTCCCAAATTAGCAAGAGTTATTTTCCGTTGGCCGCCATATTGGAGGTCAACATGCTCATATTCCTTCATATTCAGCCAACTTTAACTTTTTATACTGGCCATTGTGGGGTAGGAAAGATTGTTTTTCTGAAAATATACATTTGCTTAAGCCACCTTTATTTCATTATTTTTATTCTATTAAGACTTTCCCCCAAATATTTCTGCTACACCCTCTTAGATTTGGTAAGACAAAGAGGAAAAAATACCAGGTTGACCACCAAGATGGCGGCCAAGGGAAATAACTCGGAGAGAAAATACGTCATATGAAAACTATCTATTGACTGGACAAAGACACTATTCTGTGAAGTCCTTTGTTTCTTCCCTCCAGAGTGACTTTCATTTCTGCATACATGATGTTTAATTAATAGTTTTACTATAATATGGTTTTATAAGCATAGTTTTTAACATAATTCAGATGTGTTCATTTCAATACAAGGTAATGTCATGTTTTAAGTTAGTATAATTTTTACACATATTTTGAAATTTGGATATATTTGTAATATGGGTATCACATTGTTATGTAAAATTATCCTTGATCAAGAGGCTATAAAATACAAACCCCTGGGAAGATGAACCACTGCTGTATTTTGAAGTCACTGTTTTCCTTTTTCCCTGACCCTGGCCATACATGTAGTTGTTATACTTAAACAAAGTTGGTACTGGATTTTTGTCCGTAGGTCTGCCATCTACGAAATGTCTAGAGCACACAGCATGCCAGTGATCTGTATTACTTGGCCTGAAATTTTTCCGACGTACCGCTTTAATCCACTGGCGGCGAAGCTTTTGATTTTTGGTAGCGAAAGGCAACACATAAAAATTGACAATATTTCCATTTTTGTCCACCATATGTGGGTATTTACTGAGTTTATTCGATTTCCTGGAGTCATTGTTACAACCCACAGCAATACAATGGTAATTCACCATGATATTTTCACGTAAGACGCGCCTATTTTATTTATCTGACATGACAAGTTCAGCGTCCTTGTTTACAAAATGTTGCCCAAGTTCACGTCCAAAACGAGATCTCGTTGGACACACTAAATATTAAAACCGCGACGGGATAGGAGACGAAATAATGATTCCGATGTTGCTATTATTACAAGTATACATGTACGTTTGAAGAAATGTGAAGAAATTCGTCATTAGCAAGAATGATGAAGCATACGCAATGCACATATTTCCAAGAGAAATCCCCTGCTACACGTACAAGATCTCCTACCCAACTGGCACTTATTTCTCAAAATTTTAATCCCATAGTAAAATAATAAGGTATCTTATTCCGATTTACATGCATAGAGTACCCCTTCCCCAGAAAAGTAGTAACTCTTTTTGAAAATACACCGAGACAAACTTTTTATTACCATTCTCTTTAATGATAATTTATCTTAAAATTCATAAATGGCATGCATGTACTTATTATCTTTTATCTCCGTTAATATCTTCCAAACTTAAGTTTGCTCGCCGATTGGAAAATACGTTTTTCACCATGAAGTTACCGTCACGGTAGCTAACTCAGTAGAGCGCGCGCTCCGTTATCTGAAGGTCGTGGATTCAAACCTCGGCCGCGACTGAGCTAAATGGATTAGATAGCAACTGTTCCTTTGCACTTTGAAATAAAAAGTTGCAGATCTTCTCGAACGCGACGTTAAACAACAGAATCAATTAATCACACCACGAAATACTAAGTGTTAGTCTTGGACAGAAAGCAAAAAAAGAAAATCAAGGGGTTTAAGAATTTAATCCCAATGTTAAATATTGCAGATAATAGTATATATATGTATTTTTTTTTTTATTTTCCATAAATACATTACGACATTTTTCCGATTTAATTTTAGAAACAGCAATTCTAACTAAATATTCTGCCAGAGATACGTACATAGTATTTCATGATGTGAAACAAATTTTCGAGTCGACAAGCAGATTTCGGACACTGTTAACGGGGACAAAAAAATAAAGACAGACATGTCATATATGCTTTCGTAGATAAATTATTGTAGAAAAGATTATTAATAAACGTTTTTTAGTGCATTTCTTCTGAGAGCGTACATGTTTACGATTCTGGGAAGGGGGTATACCATGTAGATCCTTCGTTATTGTTATAATATCGGTTTTTTTTTAACGGAAACAAGTGTCTGTGGTGTACATAATGGTTTGCTAAACCTCTCTATTAATATTTAAATAAATGTAGCAGTAGGAATTCTGACAAATTAATTACTTTAATGTTAGTACTCTTAATAATACCATGAAAAACAAAAACACTGTAACAATTACATGCAGTGGTTAGAACTGGATACTCAGAAATCACATACATTGTATCTTTGAATGCGTCTGTGCTGTCGTATCTATGGGTACTTAATTTAAATTTGAAAATTAATTGTAATATACTAATGAAATATGGATATAACGAACAGTATTAAAGCCCATATTCCATTTAAAGAATACAAATCGGGAACAGAGCAAACACGGACCTCAAAAACATAAGGGGTGGGATTTGGTGCCATGTTTTTTAATTATGTAGATTTATATTATCTTATTAATTTTCGAACATTTTCAGATATCGATCCTGTTTATCACACAGAAGAAAATGCAAATGCACTGTGTAGCAGTACCAGAAAAGAAGATTCAATGGTCCTGGACAGTAATATTTTACAAATTTAACGAAGAAGTAAAGAAAAAAGACGAACATATTCATAAAATATGCTGGATTTTCTGTCGCATTTAAGGTAAAAAAAAAACATTTTTATGTTGGAAAGTAAATTTGCAATAAGGATACTTCGCCTGCATTTCAAGGAAAGTATGGTTGCAATAGAAAGAGTTTTCATACGTAGCTTACAAACATTGAAATTTTCTTCACTTCGTCGATTTTTTTAATCTGATTCATATGCTCACCTGAGCTGAAACCTCAAGTAAACTTTTCTAGTCAAGATACGTCCGTCGTCTGCATGATGCCTGTCGTTTGCTGATGTTAATTTTGTTATTTTCCACTTCCTAAGATTCTTTGGCTAGGGTCAGTTTCAAACAGGCGTTCAAAAAAGTTTTATAGGTGAAAAGGATTTAGTCTTCTTCGAAATGTTAAAATCAGAAACAGTGAAAAACAGAGTTAAGTTATTCAAGAATTACTGGACTAGCAGGGAAAAACTTACGCGAAATCTTCTTTAATAAATGTAAATTCAAGTTTGTTCAAATCATGGCAACTGGGATTAAGAAGGAACCATAAAAGCGAGTAAATCTTTCACAGGAGAATTTAAAGGGGGGTCATTCTAAAATCTTCTCTTGAGAACCACTGAGACAAATTTGAAAGCTTCTTACATACTGTAGTTTCAAGTTTGTTCAAATGATGACAGATTGGCTAGGTGTGGACACACGAGAGGTGAAAATTTCACATTAATGCAATACCCTTCCCGGAAAAAAATAATTAAGTATTTAAATAAATCAAGCATAAAAATATGTGCTAAATAGAGCCCAGGACCGTAGCACAAAATACAACTTTTAGATTTTTCCTTAGATCTAGATCTGTTATCTATTGGTCTTTTGTAATTTGTTTCTCTTTTTAGGACGCTGTCCTCCTGAAGATTTTAAAAGTTGTTGGAAGTATTATACTTTAGACATAACAGACTTCATTACATCAGTATACCTACGAAAACAAGTTCCATCAAGATCAGAGATGGTATCTTACTATTAATGACATGGTATTTATTTTGTACTACATGTACATGTATATACAAAATTATATTATATGTGCGTCATTAAGAAAAAGAAAACACTTGGACGCATCAGAACAAGACCATTTGATATTGATAAATTAGTTCTTCATTGGAACAAATTACTGTAAAAGCAGACATTTTCGTGCAGATGATATTTCGTTGATATGTGATCGCAATTGATTCCATGGGGACTAATTTCAGTGTTTCAAAATTAACTATAAGAATAACATATTTCTGGATAAAGATTTTGTTAGGGATTTATTTTTTTCATAAATGTAATCAAGGAAATTACAGCAAGTTATACAATACCCATTGAACATATCTGCTTCAACAGTCGAGATTTGTTCGAACGAATTATTATTTCGTTTTCTGGAAATAGCAATCTTTGGACGAATAAGATATTTGTTTAAACGGATAAATATTTGTTCGGATGGATTGTATCCTACTTTGCACAAGAATTACCAATTTCTTATTTTATTTTAATTTGTCGTAAAAAATGACTAATTTGAAGAGAAATTACTTAGTCCTAACAAATATCAAAATTCGTCAAAATAAATACCGCTGTATCAAAATTCTTCTAAAAGAAGACTATTCGTTGGAACAGATGTCATTTCATTTTTATCTTTAAAAAATGTCTAATTCGTTCCAATAAATATCTATTTCGTCCTAACAAATATCATATTCGCACATAGAAAATATTTAACCATTCTTAACGTTACAACTGCAAGGTACAATATACATTCTATTTATCTTATTATTGAAAGTATATTGCATTATAGACCTGTGTGTCATTGAACGAAGAAAAAAATTCAGAAAATTGAAGCAGAATCAACAACTCAGGAGATAATTCTATTAATTCTTTGACAGTTTCCTCGTGTTTGAAAAAGAATTCAATGAAAACTCGTGATTTATATCTTAATGATTTTGTAAAGGTCCTATATTTTACTATAACTTATATTTTCCTTTTGAAATTCTTTAATTATGCAGAAAAACGTATTCTTTAAATCACTGAGCTGTGATAAAAAGAACATATACATGTGTTTTATTATTTCACGCTTGTGCATTGGAATGTGCATTTTTTTTCTTACTTGTTGATTTATATCGTATAAAAATATGGTTTCGGATGATACACATCATAATTTGCGTTAATTTGTAATAAATCATCCTTGAGCAAATACCTGCATATCTTTGAATGTATACAAGTCAAATGAGAAACAGAATTGAGATCAGTGAAATATTGAGATAACGAACAGTATTCAAGCTCAAAAGTCCATTCAAACAATTCAAACCAGGAGCAGAGCAAACTTGGACCTCTAAAACATCAGTCTAAACTAAAAAAAATATCTTAATTGTTACACAGTCTACCAAACACTGCGTTTAAGCTTATTATATGGATTTCTGTAACAGTGGTATAGTCTGTTACACTACTAGTATTTTAAAAGACTGGGTTTTTTTCTTTTTATTTCATCTTACGAAAAAGTTCTGGTAAGGCTTAAAATTGAAAAAATCAAACTTAAAGAAAAAGAAAATATAAGTTAACTTAAAGCAGTTTGGCGACCTTTCCGCCTTGACACAATCTGAAGCACCACAATGTGTAAACGAGGGTTTACAAATGCATGGTTGTCGAGCAAGCTTCTCGTATTCGTCGAAACTGTGTTACTTGTGAACTGAGGGACATTGGTTATTGAAGTCTTTGTTTAAAATGTCCTGATTTTCGTATTTTGAGGCACGTGTGAAAGTACAGTGTACATGATATGTATGTCACAACTCTCTATAGAAAGAATTGTCAAAGATCCTGAACAATACTTTGACTTGTGTCACGTGATCAAAACGCAAAAAATTACGGATTAAGTACCTTTCGATTTTGTTGGAAAAAGAATAAAATTCTTCGAATGCCAGAGTTTTTTTTTGTATTTAATTGAGCTGTGTACTGAGGTGAACAGTTCTTTGTTTAAATATGTGTATTAATTTCATGCTAGCCGTGGCTACTTATGTGTAACATTTAAGGGTTAAAGCAATAAATAACTGAAGGGAATGTGCTCGCATAAGCATATAAACTCGGTTTTCATGATCTCCATAGGTCATTGTCAACATGCATTGCATGAATTTTAGGTAAACTTAAAATTTAAACTTGATAGGTAAACAAGATTTATTATCCTGAAACAAAAGAAAAGACCTCTTCTGCTCAAAAAAGTATATTAATTTTTAATTATATTAAGGAAGCCAATTAAGTAATCATGAAAATAGAAATGCAAATATGCATAAGCTACATTAATTTATCTAAGTAATAAAGTTGCAGAGGTGTATTTATGCCAAGTTATATAATTTTCAAACCTGGTAATTCCAAAGATGGCTTTTCAAACTTTAATCTTTGCTTTTCCAACATTAAAGTTGGTAATTCTAGCTTTAAGCTTTAAGATTCCCAACTCTTGACGTCTCCAACTTCTATATTTGCTTTTCCAACCTTAATCTTGACTTTTCCCAACTTTACCTTTACTTTTTCTAATTTGAACGGCTTTATCTGTTTTACAAATATATTATAACTGGGCTTGTGTTGCTATTATATAATTCGGATGGAAAGAATTTTTTTTATTATGAAAGAAGGAATAATTTTCATTGTGTTTTCATATACATTGATTGATTTTATGTTGTTTTAAGTCTCATTCGAGAATTTTCACTCATTAAGAGACGTCACCCTATGCCGGTGAAGGGCTTCAAATTTAGACATTTACTCGGCACTCGGGGCCATTGAGCAGTGAGGATTCTTTATCGTGACAACGCCTACCGTGACCCGGGGTCTCGGTTTTCAGGGTCTCATCCGAAGGACCCGCAACTTTCACTTCAAAGTGCCGAGCGATTCGCGAAGGAACAGTTGCCCCCTTTTTTATCGACAGGTCAGTCGCGGCAGTGATTCCAACACACGACCTTCCAATCACTGTTTTCATATACAGAATTGTTACATTTAGCACAGTTGTCTTTGTAGCGTGGAAAATAGTGTTGATTCAACCTATATATTTAACACCTGATACAGTTTTATTTATTTAAACATTTTCAAAAAATTTATGTTTTTCTGATCTTGGTATTTAATCAAACACTGAAGTACTTGTCAAATTGAAATAAACATTCAGTTTTTAAGATTTTTAGGTCACCTGAGTCACTCAGGTGACCTATTGCTATCCGTTTTCGTCCGTCGTCGTGCGTTGTGTGTTAACATTTGAACATTTTTAGCTTCTTCTCTGAAACCGCTTAACCAATTTCAACCAAATTTGGCATGTAGCATTTATGGGTGAAGGGAACAACAACTGTGAATTTCACGGTCCCTGCCCCAATGAAAAATTAATGCAAACTTTAAAAATCTTCTTCTTTACTCCTGGATATCAAGCAGTCAAACTGTTGGTATGATTGTAATAAGCATTGGGCCCTCTACCAAATTGTGAAATTCATGGCCCCACGTACGGTCAGGGGTTCTGGTGCTAGGATGGGGCTATATAGATCAAATAGTGAAAGTTCATTATTTCTTTGAAAATCTTCCTCTCTGCTCCTGAGTATTAAATAAACTAATTAAGTATATAGTTATGAAAAGCAAGAGTGCTTCTTCCAAAATTGTGAATTTCTTGGCCCCAGGATCAAGGGTTCTGGTGTAAGGGCGGGGCTCTATTGATTATATAGTGAAAATGCATTAATTCTTTGAAAATCTTCTCTGCTCCTGGGTATTAAATAAACTAAGTACATACTTATGATGAGCAAGAGTGCCTCTTCCAGAATTGTGAATTTCATGTCCCCAGGGTTAGGGGTTCTGGTGTTAGGGCGGGGCTCTATTGATTATTTAGTGAAAATGCATTTATTCTTTGAAAATCTTCTTCTCTGCTACTGAGTATTAAATAAACTAATTAAGTACATATAGTTATGATGATCAAGAGTGCCTCTTCCCAAATTGTGACTTTCATGACCCCTGGGTCAGGGGTTCTTGTGTTAGGGCGGTGCTCTAGTGATTATATAGTGAAAATACATTAAAGAGGCTGGGGGGTTGTGGCCATTTTTAGACTATATTGATCTCCTTTAGAAGAAGAGCTCCATATGAAGATATAGAAAATGATCAAATTTTAAAACTAAAATTTTTGAAATTTTTCTTTGCCAAATGATAGTTGACAGCTTAAGATATCATATCTAAAAAATTAAGTTAAATCTGGTGGTTAATTTGTTGAGCCCCCAGCCTCCTTAATTCGTTGAAAATCTTCTCTGCCCCTGGGTATTGAATAAACTAACTAAGAACATAGTTATGGTGAGCATGGCTGCCTTTTCAGAAATTGTGAATTTCATGGCCCCTGGGTCAGGGATTCAGGTATTAGGGTGGGGCTCTATTGATATATATAGTGAAAATGCATTAATTCTTTGAAAATCTTCTCTGTCTTGGATATTAAAGAAACTAAAAACATACTAGTTATGATTAGCATGGCTGCCTCCTCAGAAATTGTGAATTTCATGGCCCTGGGTCAAGAGTTCTGGTGTTAGGGCGGGGCTCTATTGATATATAGGGAAAATGAATAAATTCTTTCAAAGTCTTCTTCTCTGCTTCTAGGTATTTTTAAAACAAAGGAAGTGCATGGTTATGATCAGGAAGAATGCCTCTTCCAAAATTGTGAAATTCATGGCCCCTGGGTCAGGGGTTCTGGTGAAGGGGGGGGGGCTCTATTGATGATAAAGTGAAAATGCATAATTTCTTTCAAAATATTTTTTTCCTACTACTTGTTATAAAGCAAAGAAACATGTGTATAGTTATGAGCAAGGGTGCTTCTTCCAGAATTGACCGTTCACGGTAGCTCAGTCGGCAGAGCGCTCGCTCCGTGATCGGGAGGTCGTGAGTTCGAATCTCGGCCGCGACTGACCTAAGTCGATAAAAAATGGATGTTAACTGTTCCTTCGACATGCGCTCGGCACTTTGAAGTGAAAGTTGCGGGTCCTTCGGATGAGACCTTAAAAACCGAGGCCCCGTGTCACGGCAGGCGTTGGCACGATAAAGATCCCTCACTGCTCAATGACCCTGAGTGCCGAGTAAAGGTCAAAATTTGAAGCCCTTCACCGGTATATGATGACGTCTCTATATGAGTGAGAAATTCTCGAATGGGACGTAAAACAACATACAATCAATCAATCAATCTTCCAGAATTGTGAGTTCATGGCCCCTTTGTCTGGTGTGAGGGTGGGGTTTTATTTATTTAATAATATAGTGAAAATCCATTTCTTTGAAAATCTTCTATGCTTCTGGGCATATTTGAGGCAAACAGAGTAAAAGTTTTAATATGCTAGGGTATTTTTACCAGAATTTTGAACACTTGGACCATTTAGTCAAGTGTTCTGGTCCTTTGCCAGGGCTCAATTAACTTGTATTCTGCTGAGTAAAGATATTCCCCTTTGCCATTCACCTTTGATAATTAATCACTGTAAATAATGTATTTGAAAGATTCATAGAATACGCGAATTATGCAAGAATATTTATTGTATAATACAAAAAAAAAATACTTTCATAGTTTAAATGATCAGCTAGACTTGGAAAAAATAGATGAATAAAATTGAGACAAAAATAACTTGTCTTTTTAAATGTTTTTGAAAGGTCAAGAGAGGCCAATGTGAGAAGTAATAATATGGGGTTAAAAAATAGACAGTTTGTTAATAGTCTGCATGGTAATAGTGATAAATGGGGGACAGATAGGCTACAAGACCAATTATTTTGTTTATGCTTATAATACTATTTTTCTTGCTTTTGGGCAACAATGCTTCATTTATCAGTTTATGAATCCTCTAAATTGTTGTATTGTACTCAGGTGACCGTTAAAGCCCTTGGGCCTCTTGTTAATAATCATGTTTTAAAAAGGCAATTCATTCTCTCATCACTCCAAATTAGCACATCGGAAATATTTTACCTTTCTTAACATTAATAATTTTAAAGTACAATATAAATTGAAGCAGAGCCCAGTAGATAATTCTATTAATTCTTTGACAGTTGCCTCGTGTTTAAAAAAAATCAATTAAAACTCGTGAGTTATATCCTAATGATTTTGTTATCGTCCTTTTTTTCATCATATATCTTACTTAAATTTCTTTTTGAAATTCTTTAATAATGCAGAGAAGCGTATTCTTCAGATCACCGAGTTGTGATAAAAAAGAGTATATTATTTTACGCTAGGGTATTGGAATGCGCATTTTTGTCGAGCTTGATGATTTATTTAGTGTAAATTTATAGTTTTGGATGATATGCATCGTAGTTTGTGTAATAACTCATCCATGAATAAATACATGCATATTTTTGAAAGAATAAGTCAAATCAGAAAAAGAATTGAGGTCAGTCTAAACAGCAG